ATCATTATTATTACTATTAGTTGTATTTGTCTTATTCTTCTTATTCATTATCTTCTGCTTTTTCCAACCCCCTTCTTCTTCCCAATCGGGGAGGGGTTCATCACAACACGCCTTCTCCCCCAGGCGACTGGCAGCCAATCAGGACCAATGCGAACCCCCAATCCCTTTCAACAAACAATACGAGACACACTTTGGGGCAAAAACTTGGGTCATGATCGTGGGCCCCGCGAGCACTTTGCAGTGTTTTTGGACCACGACAGCGAGGTTGCCCTCATCTTGCCTGCTTTGCGCAAGGCACCCATCCCTGTCAAAAGACCAGCATGCACTTCACGGCTGAATCTGGATCGTTCGCTGACACCCCGCAATCACTGCCCATTGGTGTTTGACAAGGACCGCGGGGGTGCTGGCATATTGCCTGCTGTGTGCAGGCCCACCGGACACCATGATGGCGTCCCCGCCGCGATTGTGCATTCGTTTTCGACAAGGATGGTGGGGGCCGACATGCTTCCCGATGTGTACTGTCACGTGTGCGGGCGCACCTGGCCCACTCTGCGCGTACCCCGGACGTGGCGCACCTGGCGCGGCTGGGCCATGCGGCCCACAAGGCACAGATGGAGCACGTGGCGCATCTGGTGCGCGAGACGTGCCTGGCACGCTTAGGCACCACGGGTGCCTGGCGCACCTGAAGCGCCTGGCACAGGTGGCGCACGTCGCCACATCGCGCACATGGAGTCTGTATTGGTTCCCAGTAGCTGCCCATCCATAGACAACCGCTGAACATGCTGAGTCCTGGGTGCTACTTATGTGTTGGGAGGGCGGGCGGGAATGAGCAAGACAGCTTGCGGGCGGGGAAGGTGTCTTGGTCCATCCCCCCTACCCCCTACCCCTGGCCCCGGACCTGGACGGGGGGGTCGCGACCCCCTAGAGAGTCCAAGAAGGCCTCGGCGAGAGAGCCCAAATCACTGATTGTACTAAGGTTTTGGCCCAGTGTTGGCCTTCTAGGGGGGAGCCCGAATTAAGTACCGCCTCCTTCTTTGATCGATCACCTCCAAGATGGCCCCCGAGGCTCCCGAGAATACCACAAGAGGACCCCGAGGCGCCCAAGAGGCCCTGAGAGGCCCCAAAATTCCTCCAAGATGCCCCCGAGAGGCTCCCAAGAGACCCCCAAGAGGCTCCCCCGAGGCACCCAAGACGCGGCAAGAGGCCCCCGGGACCACCTGGAGGCCCCCAAGACGCCCGAACAGGCCTACTAGAAGCTCTCAAGAGACATCCGAAGAGACTCCGAGAAGCATTCAAAGAGGCCTCTGGCCTTTCTGTTCGCCCTCCTCCTCACCCGCTTCCTCATTCCGCCTGATCCTCATGTTCCTCCTCCATCCTCCCTCCTCCCTTCTCCCTCGTCCCTCCTCCCCCTCCCCCTCCCCCCCTCCTCCTCCTTCTCCTCTGGCTCCTCCTCCATCCTCCCCCTCGTTGAGTACGACGGTTTCTAAGCCTTTTGTTGCAATGCGTGCTCCCCCGCATGCCTAGTCAGGGCAACTCACATGGGCATCGATTCTGGATGGGCTGGTGGGGTTACTTTTTGTTCGCGATCGCGCAGGGGTGCCTGGCGCCGTCCAGAAACGCGGCTAACAAGCAACGGCCTGAATTTCGCACAAGAGCGCACAGGAGCAGGCTACGCTGAGGCTCAGGACAGACCCCAAACGTTCAAATTTGTTCATGGTGACGGCCCTGTAAGACCTTTCCGTGTGGAACCGGTGTTTCATCCTGTTCGGTGGCAACTCATGGGAGCCTCCCATACCATCTTGACGGCTCTTGCGAAGCGACGCAAATCAACGCGAAATCGACGCTAGTCGACGCTAATCGACGCTAAATCGACGCTAATCGGCGCGAGGCTAAATCGGCGCTATCTCGTCGACTCCCAGACGCTAATCGGCGCGAATCGGCGTTAAAGACAAAATTGCGAGGGTACACGAGGCTCCCATTAGTTGCTACCGAAATCCTGACTCGGGCGTCCCCAACCTCCTCCTCCTCCTCCTCCCCCTCCTCCTCACACCTTACGCGTAGAAGCTCGATGCATGGCTCGCGAGATCGGCCACGGGGGAGGCCGCCACTGGCCCCCCAAAGTCGGTGACTTCTCATGGTGTCCCGCATGGTCTTCCGTGTGCTCTCCCGCGCGGCCTCCCGCGCGGTCTCCCGCGTTGTGCCCCGCGGGGTCTGCCGGGTGCCCTCCCGCAGGTTCTCCCCCATGTGCTCTTCTCCAGCATGCCAGCAGGGCCCCCGCAGGGCCTCCCGCAGGTTCTCACGCAGCATCGGTCCAAAGCGAGGCTCTCTCTCTCTCTCTCCGCTGTCTCGGTGGGCTGCTCAGGGCCTTCTGCGGCCAGAGCGAAACTGTCGACGGCCCCGTGGCCCGGAAACGGCTCACAGTGGACGAGCATCACGACAGGGCGTCCGCCGTGAATGTTTCACGACGCGGGATCCTCGATCGCGCGAGGAGTCCTCGAACCTCCATCCTCGATTCTCGACCCTCGATCGATGCTCGATCGATCTTCGATCTCCTCGACCGCGCGAGGAGTCCTCGCTCGATCTTCGATCGACTCTCGACCGATCTTCGCCGTCCTCCATCATCCATGCTCGATGTACGTGGTCTGGGAATCTCCTCGGTCCTCGATCGTACGCCGAAGGTCGCCGTCGCCGTCGTCGTCGTCCCCTTCGTCGTCGGTCGGTCGGTCGGTCGGTCGGTCGATGCTGTCGCCGTGGCCGCCGTCGCCGTCGCCATCGCCGTCGTCGTCGTCGTCGTCGCCATCGCCGTCATCGTGGTCGTCGTCGTCGTCGCCAACGTCGTCAACGTCGTCAACGTCTTCGTCAAGGAAATCACGGCCGGAACCCTCTGAGCATCGCTTGACAGATCGCTACCCCCACTGGCGCGACCTTGGCCCCACGGGCCGATTTACCCACCCAGGGGGGGGGATACACGCCTGCTCCTTCTGAAGGGCAGGCTGGTCGGGCTGAGATACCCCTGGAGGAAGGAGAACCTATGCACCTGCACCGACTCGGGCCAGGCCCATCCACAGCCCAGGATCGGTGCATACGCCCTGCTGCCATTGCAGGGAAGGCATCTGCACCGATCCTGGGCCCAGGATGGGCCTGGCCGAGACCGGTGCATGTGCACAGTCCTCTTCGTCCGAACCCTGGCCCCAGTGGGGATGGGGATACACGTCGATCTGCAGAAGCAGGGAAAAAAGAATGAAGCGGGAAGGCGGAGAAAGCAGAGTGGGTGCAGGCCCTCCCAGAGGAGGACAGAACGCAGCAGGAGCACGTCGACTCTTGAAGTGGGAGGGCGCCTTTAGAACAGACTGGGGCATGGGAATCCAGGAATGGCTGCTTTCAACGACCGGCGTGGCGACGCTGCGGACCCTCGGCCCCCATTTGGAATCCCGCAACGGTGCGGTGACAGACCGTGCGGTGGCCTCGGAACCCCAAGAGACCTCGCCGCACGGTCCGCCACCGCACGGCCTTGGGACCCTGGAGGCCCCTGTCGCCCGAAACGTCCTCGGAGAGGGACTCGGGTCCCAAAGCCGTGCAGTGACCCCCCGAAATCCCCACCGACTCACCGCACGGTGTGGCCACCACCACCCACGGGGAGGAGGAGGAGGAGGAGGAGGAGGAGGAGGAGGAGGAGGAGGAGGAAGTAGGAGGAAGTAGGAGGAGGACGAGGAGGAGGAGGAGGACGAGGAGGAAGAGGAGGAGGAGGAGGAGGAGGAGGAGGAGGAGGGGCCCCTCGGCCCCCCGCCTTCCTGCGGCGCGCTCCCTGGGCCCGACTGGTCCGCGGGCGGCCGTCCGCCCCGCTCGAGCCAGGGCGCGCCTCCGCGCCCAGGGCAAGCGGGGAGGGCGCCCGGCCCGTTGGGGTGAGGACGGAGCGAAGCGACGCGACGCGAACACCAGAACCGTGCGCGCTCCACTGGGGAGCCCGCCCGTGACCGTCAGGGCATGGCGTGGAGCCCAGGGCCTCGAAAATGTAATGCGTAGGGTGCCATACGTAGTGTAATGAAATGCGTGGAACGGGTCAGGACGAGAGCGGTGCCACGACACGGCATGGCTCGGGATGCGTCCTGGGGATTCTGCAGTGCCCATCGGTCGGAAGGAGTAGGTGGAAGCATGAAGCAGGAAGGCGCCGAGGATAGGTTGGATGTCCGCCTGCCCCCTTGGGAGGAGGGAAAAGGTGAAGCCACTCGATCGTTGAAGTGGGAAGGCGCCTAAAGTAGATTGAAATCTGGGACTCCGAAAATACGTACTTCCAACGACCGATGGGTACAGTCGGGCTTGATCTGACAGGACACGCGAGAGGGCACGAGACCCTTCCGAGGGCCACATGTCCATGGGAACGCAGGAGGCATGGGTCGCGAGACACACGGCACAAGGGTACCCTGGCTCTGGCAGGGTCGACCTACTGATCAGGGCCGACTGTATCTGTAGAGGCCTCCCAGACGGGGTCCGAGCAGGTGGGGTCGGAGGATCGCGCCGCCTCGCTGATGCATCGGCGATGCGGCTCGATGTGGAGCCCGATGTTCTTCACGCCGACGTCGCCGATGCATCGCAAGCGCCGCCGACAGCATCGACGATGCATCGGCGATGCATCGGGCGACGCATCGGCGATGCGGCGCGATCCTCCGACCCCGTCTGCTCTGACCCCATCCGGGGAGGCCTGGAATCCAGAAGCCCGCGCGAAACCGCAGGGAGTCTTCGAAACCCTGGGCGCCCCGGCTGTCTGGGACACACAAATAAATACACACAAATAAAATGATTCCCCATATTTTCCCATATTTTCTGGATTTTTGTCTTCCCGCCCAATTCCCATATTTTCGCATATTTTCTGGGGAGTCGACGAATAATTGTGTCTGTGTGTTTTGTTCCCCTCCTGAGTCTCGCAGCGCACCGCTGCCGCGGCTCGCTGCTCCCCCGAGGGGGGGGCCGCCGAGAGCCGCCCGCCGCGCGCCGAGGGGGGCGTCCTCAGGCGGCTGGCGTCGTACGCCGGGGCCGCGGTCCCCTCCACGGCACGGGCGAGGGCCGTCCGCCGCAGCCGAGCGCCAGCACGCCTCGGCGACGGCGACGGGCGGCGGGCAGCGGGCGGCGGGCGGCGACGACGACGACGGACGACGACGACGACGAGGAGCGAACGCAGGCTGAGGCGGCCTCTTCACTCTGGCTGTGCCTCGAGGCTGCGCAGCTTCCCTGGGCCCTCCCGCGGTGAACACGGCAGGCCCACGTCGCGATGACGTCGGCATCGCCTTCTGGCACTTCGACAACCTTGGACGAGCACCGCTTTCTGATATCGGAGGTCCTTCCATACTGGGTGAGTTCAGGCAGCTGGCAAAGGCCAAACCTGAACACCCGCGCTGGCGTCGCCGCCGCGTCAACGCTTCACCCGTCGCGAGGCCAAGAGTCGCCACAGGCCTGCCGCGAGAGCTGGCAGGAGCGGCTCCCTCGCGATGGTTCCCTTGGCAATAGCGTCCACAAGAAAAAGAACACCAAGGGTGCGTGCAGCAAAACCATGTGCGCTCCAACAAACCCAGAAAGAACGGCCTCGGGTGGCCATGGCAACGGCGACGAAAGACTCCTCGAGCGAAAGCATCACGCCCACCCCGACGCTCGCGTGTGCACTTCGTCCCATCTTGTTCAAGGGATTATCGCGACAGCACGCGCGCAAGGGCGTTCAAACGATTTCGACATGCGTGCGCGAGAAGTCCGCTTGGCAACACTCAAAAATATGTTGAAAAACCAACGGTGTGATCGAGAAGTCGTGAGACCGCGAGCGCATGCTGTTTTAAGAACTAAAGTTGCGGACTCGATGTTGAAATCCTTCCGAAACCTTGAGTTTTTGAAGGATTTCGGCTGGCGCGCGCGACGACGCGCGTGTGTGCATGTCGTCTCATTTGTTGAAATGAAAGGGATTATTGAACACCGCTGATGTTTGATAAACGAGTGCGCATAATATCTTTTGCAGAGGAAGGGGGGAACCGTTACTGGCCTGGCCGGGATGATACGAACTCACGTTTAAGATGGGCGATGGGGCAGAATCGCCTGTCATCTGCAATACAAGAGGCGAGCCGTGAAGTCCAGGGGGGAGGTAGATCCGATTATTTTCTTAGAAGGTGTATGCGGCGCAATCTATGCGAGGCGGCGACGGGGCGGCGACCGCAAAAACATAGCCGCCAGAAAGACGCACAGCCCCAGACGTCGGACGGCGGCGAGGCGGCGACGGGCGACGACGGCCTCAACATAGCCGCCAGACCGACGCACAGCCACGAACGGCGGCGACGAGGCGGCGACGGGGCGGCGACGGCGGCATCATAGCAGCCAGACCGACGCACGGCCCCTGACGTCGGGCGGCGACGAGGCGGCGACGGGGCGGCGACGGCGGCAACATAGCCGCCAAACCGACGAACAGGCCCAGTACCTTTGAACAGAAGTAAGAACACCTAAGTGCAAGCACTGTTTGAGACATCTGGATGTCTGTGCCGACTCGGAGATAGGAAAACTAGGAAATCTTGGAACGCGTCATTATCATGACATCTTGCCCCCCCGCCCCAGAGCGGGAATCTGCTGATGAATATGCTGAACGCGCTGCTCCAAGGAAGCCGGATGCCCAAGGATGGGAGCGCGCAGACCTGGAACGCCGATGATCGGAGGTGAGGGGGTGAGATCGAAGTGGAACGGAGAGCCCCCCTGCCGGGAAATCGATTTCGGTTTCGTGTTCGTGCGTGCCGTGCGTGCGGGCGAGGCGAAGCTGCGTGGGCGTGCGAGAGGAAAGTGTCCCTCTGTGGCTGAGGCGCAGCCGGACCAAATGTCTCCCTTCTGGGCGGCCGGGGGCCCGCGGTGTCCCGCCGGTGTCCCGCTGGTGTCCCGTGTGGCTGAGGCGCGGCCGGATCAAATGTCTCCCTTCCGGGCGGCTGGGGCCCCGCGGTGTCCCGCCGGTGTCCCGCCGGTGTCCCGTCGGTGACCCGATGATGATGATGATGATGATGATGATGATGATGATGATGATGATGATGACGATGATGATGATGATGACGATGATGATGATGACGAAGATGAGGATGAGGATGAGGATGAGGATGAGGATGAGAATGATGATGATGATGATGATGTTGATGATGATGTTGATGTTGATGTTGTTGATGATGATGGTGATGATGATGTTGGTGTTTTATTGTGATGATCGATAGTGAGATCGATAGTGAGGTCGAATGTGAGATCGATAGTGAGATCGATAGTGATATCGATTGTGAGATCGAGCGTGAGACCGAATGTCAGATCGATTGTGAGATCGATTGTGAGATCGATAGTGGTATTGGTAGTGAGATCGAATGTGAGACCGAATGGGAGATCGATTGTGAGATCGATTGTGAGATCGATAGTGAGATCGACAGTGAGACCGAATGTGAGATCGATAGTGGGATCTATTGTGAGATCGATTGTGAGATCGATCGTCAGATCGATTGTGAGATCGATCGATTGAAATTGATAATGAGATCAATAGTGAGTTCGATAGTGAGATCGATGGTGAGACCGAATGTGAGATCGATTGTGATATCGGTTGTGATATCGATAGTGAGATCGGTAGTGAGACCGAATGTACGATCGATAATGATATCCAAAGTGAGTTCGATAGTTAGATCGATAGTCAGATCGAATGTGAGATCGATTGTGAGATCGATTGTGAGATCAATTGTGAGATCAATAGCGAGACCGAATGTGATATCGATTGTGAGATCGATTGTGAGATCGATAGTCAGATCGATTGTGAGATCGATCGATTGAGATCGATTGTGAGATCGGTAGTGAGTTCGATAGTAAGATCGATCGAGTGCGACGTTGGTCCCTTCCCCCCCCCTCACCTCCTTATCACCCGAAGGGTGGTCGTATAGGTAATTATATCGTTCTACTCTCGCCGTGGAGACGGCCGCCACGAGGTCGGGCACAGGCAGAAACCGAGGAGCCGGAGAGAGGAAGGAGAGAGAGGAGGCGAGGGGAAGGGAGGAGGAGCGGGGGAAGATTATTCACTGCGTGGGGATCCCCATATGTGCATCTCCTTGCTGGCGCTCCCTTGGTGGTGGGACTCGGTGAGGACGAATCTGGATTTTAAGTGTGACTGAGCTGCCTCTCTCTCTCTCTCTCTCTGCTCTCTCTGTCTCTCTCTCTCTCTCTGCCCTCTCTCTGTCTCTGCCTCTCTTTCCCTGCCTCTCTCTCTCTCTGCCTCTCTCTCTGCCTCTCTCTCTCTGCCTCTCTCTCTCTCTGCCTCTCTCTCTGTGCCTCTCTCTCTCTGCCTCTATCTCTGCCTCTCTCTCTCTCTCTCTCTCTCTCCTCTCTCTCTTCTCTCTATTCTCTCTCTGCTCTCTCCTCTCTCTCTCTCACTCTCCCTCTCTCTCTCTCTCTCGCTCTCTCTCTTCTCTTCGCTTCTCTTCTCTTCTCTCTCTCTCTCTATCTCTCTCTCTCTCTCTTTCTCTCTCTCTATCTCTCTCTCTCTCTCTCTCTCTTCCCTCGCTCTCTCTCTCTCTCTCTCTCTCTCTCTCTCTCTCTCTCTCTTTCGCTCTCTCGCTCTCTCTTGCTCTCTCTCGCTCTCTGTCGCTCTCTCTCGCTCTCTCTCTCTCTCTCGCTCTCACTCGCTCTCTCTCGCTCTCTCTCGCTCTCCCTCGCTCTCTCCCGCTCTCTCTCTCTCTCTGCTCTCTCTCTCTCGTCTCTCGCTCTCTCTCTCTCTCTCTATCTCTCTCTTCTCTTCTCTTCGCTTCTCTTCTCTCTCTCTCTCTCTCTCTCTCTCTTCTCTCTCTCTCTATCTCTCTCTCTCTCTCTCTCTCTCTCTCTCTCTCTCTCTCTCTCTCCCCCCCCCCCCCCCACATCCATGGACTCGTTCCACGCGTCGGAGGATAGCCAGGACGACATCGATATCCAGGATCGAGACGGCACGATACCATCAGGCGACTCGGCTCAGCGTGACCGCGACAGTGAGCCTCACTCTGGGCTCGCCCCGCGGCAACGCAGTGCGCCCCACACCTCAGATCAGGCCGACCCTTCTGCGCGGCCTAACGACGCTGAAGGCGTCACTGCCGCTGATGTGACTAGCCATTCCACTGCTCGCCAGCTCATGCCAGGCCGTGCAGTGGCGGCTTCAGCCCCGCTGCACCACTGGCTAGACCTGGACATCCCCAGACCGCAGGAGGTGACAACGTGACTGACTCCAACCCCAGTGCCATCGACCACTGGCAGGCCGACATCGACAACGACCCCATCGATGATGAACACCCAGATGCCAGCGGTCCCCACGAGCCCCAGCACAGCTCAGCGGCATCACGACATTGTGGCTGCCTCATCTGCCTCCTGGTGGCCACGTACGCCATCGCGATAGCAATGCCGTACAAGGACCAGATCGATGGATACTTGCCGACCCCGAGCCGAGACCCCAGCTACCGACAACGACGACGACGCCAAGCGACCGCACCAGGCCCATCGGCGTCCACTACATTCCGACGCAAAACGACATACTATGTCACGTCCACGTTGAGGGCCACTCTCAAATGGACCAGTGACAAACTCAGAGATGGTGTCTCGGGTGGAGCCACTGCAGTCGGGAGCGGCTTCGGGGGCGTCCTTAAATGGGCCAGCGGCAAGCTAGGGGCCATAGCCACGGGTGGAGTTGTGTGTGGTCTTCTACTCGTCGGTGCCAAACTCCTTGCCCAGGGAGCTGTCGGACACGTAGGCGCCCGCATATGTGCGCGGGCCCTGGACTCATCCACTGCCCACTGGTGCCTCCGCTGTTGCCAACCGAGCAGGAAGCCGAAGGACGAAGCCACACACAAAATGCCGTGCACGCTCGCCGACGTACACGACGACCAGCAGGTGCACGCACTCCGACATCCGCTGCTACAGGAACACTACGCCGCAGCTGTTGCCGCCGCAGTCGCCGACGTCACCACCGCCACTACCGCCGCCATCGCTGAAGTCACAGCCGCCGTATCGCGAGCCTCGTCTGTCACACCAAGATCGACCAGCCCGACGCCACGAGACGGCCCCAAGAACGGCACGACATTCGGTAACCTAC